GATGTCGTTGGATATAGGAACGGATGTCGCCGGAGAGAGTGATAGATGGAGATGGAATGAGTTGCGATTTAGGGATTTAGTTTATGATTTCAGTGTTATATACCCAAAATTTAAGTGTTGTGATTTACAGATTCTCGTTGCGATTTACGGATTATCGTTGCGATTTACAGATTCTCGTTGCGATTTACGGATTATCGTTGCGATTTACGGATACGCGTTGCGATTTACGGATTATCGTTGCGATTTACGGATACGCGTTGCGATTTACGGATACGCATTGCGATTTACGGATACGCGTTGCGATTTACGGATACACGTTGCAGTTTACGGATACGCGTTGCGATTTACGGATACGCGTTGCGATATACAGATACGCATTGCGATTTACCCATACGCGTTGCGATTTACGGATACACGTTGCGATTTACGGATACGCGTTGCGATTTATGTGTTCGCGTTGCGATTTTCATATTCGCGTTGCGATTATGGAAAATCGCAATGCGAATTTGTACTATCGCATCGCGATTTTCAAGAATCGCGTTGCGATTTTGGAAACTGATTTGCGATTCTGGGGATCGCGTTGCGATTTTTATTTCGCGTTGCGATTTTGTTGGTCATTTTGGCAAATCCAAAAAAAGTTGGTTAAAATCGTATATTATAACTTTTTTTTGGTCACTGAGGCGATTCTCTCTTTAATTAATTATGCTCAACTTGCGAACTTCTTCTTTACTTCAATAGTAAAACGTACCAGACATTAATTAGTTTATAATTTTTTTTATTAATCTGGAGTAAGTATAGGCAGTATCGTTTAAAAATAATTCTTATAATATTTTGACATTGAATGCTCACATCTTTGACAATTATGATATACTAGAACCGGGATCCTCAAGGAATAATAATAATTTTTTTTATCACGGAAGCCGCTTGGTTCGTGCTTAATTAATTTATAATTATATATTTATCTTAAAAAAACCGTGTATTCCACTTACATCGATAACTATTTATCTAATTAGAGTATGCAAAAAAAGTATATCAATTCATGCTTCTATAACTAACATTGAACTTAAGCTGAGCAGGTCAACTAATACTGAGTTTAGCCACATTCCAGATTTTCTAATATTTGACTCTAATTGGCTCACACCTACTGCTACTACAGTTAATATTTTTTTTTAATTAAAAGAAGACTATTACAAAGAAGTACTAATTGCGAATAAAGGCAGGACCATGAAGGTCACGAGCAAGATGAGCTATTATCTCGTGGGGAGGTTCTATGTATATGCATGGTTGATCATGTGAAACGACTGTAGATTTCGCAAGGAAGTCTGCTGCAGCATTGGCTTCACGGCGTATGAGAATGAATTCAATCTTCCATTGTTTTGAAATAAGGCTCGCGATAGATCGGACAAGAGACACTGGGCTGGATGCGGCTGTAGGAGAAGTCACAAGTGTAAGAGCTTCCGCACAGTCCATTTGGCATTGAAGGCGCTCGAGTCTTTGGGACCACGCTAATTGGAGTCCTTCAAAAATCCCCCAGAGCTCGGCTTGTAATGGGGAGGAGATACCAACTGCTTTATTAAATCCGACGATCCAATCTCCATCATTATTCCGGATGAGGCCACCTACCGATCCTAGAGAGGAAGTATGGTGAACTGCACCATCCGTGTTGAGCGTAAACCAGTTAGCAGGTGCTGATCTCCATTGAATAAGTTCTGGATGAGGAAATACTACAGTTAATATTTCTATTGTTAGAGTTTCACTCGAACTCAAAGTGGCACTAATTAATTAATATATAAATATTAGAAAAGTAGAAAACCCAATTTGATTAAAAGTAGAAAATTTTATTAAATTATATTTATACTTTATATAATTTTCCTTTGTAATCAAATATATATCCCTATAAATAAATACTAAAGGTCAGGGTTAGAAATCAAGTTTTTCTTTCACCAAAATCTTCTTGTATTTTCTTCATTCATATTAGTGAAATTCTTATTCTCTGCCTATGATTTTTTCCTTTTGGGTTTTCCACATAAATCCTGGTATTCTTTGTTTTTCTTTTCGATCGTGTTTATTTGTTTGCCGATAATCATCATTCCGATATTATAACAAATTGTTATCAAAGTTTTGGGTTCAATATTATGGCAGCAATGAAATATGATATTCCGTTGTAAGATCGAAACACTAGGTTCTCGTTATGGCGGGTGAAAATTCGGGATGTTCTTGCACAGTTAGATCTCGACGATGCAATAGAAGGATGAGATGAGAAGTCGGTAACACAATGGATGAATGAGGAAAAACGTAAGGATCGTAAAGCTCTTTCTCAGGTTCGTTTACACTTATCAAATCAAATTTTACAGGATGTGTTAAAAGAAAAAACAACTCCATCTTTGTGGGCGAAATTGGAGCAACTTTGTATGTAAAAATCATTGACTAGCTAGTTGCACCTAAATCATCGTCTTTATTCGCTCAAGTTTGCAGAAGGTTCGTCTCTTGAAGAGCACCTGACTGCATTCAAGGAAACCGTCTCTGATCTAGAGACTTTAGAAGTGAAATACGATCAAGAAGACTTAGGATTGATCCTCCTATGTTCGTTGCTTCCTTCATACTCATCTTTCAAAGATACAATCTTGTACAGCCACGAAACACTCACTCTTGAAGAAGTTTACAATGGCTTGCACTCGTTTGACAAGATGAACCATCTTGTATCTGGTTCCAAGCCGTAGGCAGATAGTCTCATGATGCAAGAATCAACTAGCTCAAACAGTGGGAGAAAAGGCGAGCATTCTTCTGATAATATTGGAAGGGGTAGATCAAAATCTTCTAACCAAGGTAAAACTTGTCACTATTGTAAAAAGAAAGTTCATGTTAAATCGAAGTGTTACAAGTTGCAAAATAAAATCAAAAGAGAAGATGAAGAGCAGAACTCTCGGAAATCTGGTGAGGTCGGTATAGTAGAGGAGTACGATGACGGATAACTCCTAGTTGCGCAGGTATTGGCACAATCAAGATTCAGATGTTCGATGGAATTGTTCGAACACTTGGTAATGTAAGACATGTTCCATATTTGAGTAGAAATCTAATTTCGTTAGGTACTCTAGATTAAAAAGGGTACAGATTCTCCAGTGAAAGTGGAGCTATGAAAATTTGCAAGTATTCTCTTGTTGTGTTCAAAGGGCAGAGAAAGACTACCAAGTTTTATGTTCTACATGTTTCAACAGTTTTAGATAATGCAGTTGGTGTTTCATCTACCATGTCAAATAACGTTGTTGAACAAATTAACAATGGGCAGAATAGTTATGTGAAGTAGAAAATAGTTCAATTTCGTAGAAGACCTCCGGCAGTCAAAATTATGAATTGCCCACCGTGGGACTCGATTTCACAACCACAAGGTTAAGAGCCTTGTGCTCTACCAACTGAGCTAGACGGGCAATTCAAAATTAGCTGACTCTATTCCCATATATAATGGGGTAAAGGGGAGGTAGGATAGTAGGCTGCCCCCAACGCCAAGTTGAGAGCAGCTTCCGTGATAGACCTCCGGCAGTCATAATTATGAATTGCCCACCGTGAGACTCGATCCCACGACCACAAGGTTAAGAGCCTTTCATTTGTAATCAAGTATCTATCTCTATAAATACATACTAAGGGTTAGGTTTAGAAATCAAAATTTTCTTTCACCAAAATCCTCTTGTATTTTCTTCTTTCATATTAGTGAAATTCTTCTTCTCTGCCCGTGGTTTTTCCCTTTTGAGTTTTCCGCGTAAATCCTGGTGTTCTTTGTTTTCTTTTCGATCGTGTTTATTTGTTTGTAGATAATCATCGTTTCGATATTATAATATCTATCATTATTATTATTATTATTATTAGATCCTTGTGATTTAGTATAAAGTTGTGAACTCTTTTTCTTCAGATTTTCTTGAATTAAAATAATGCAAATGAAAATAAAATATTAATAATAAATATAAAAAAGGAAAATACATAGATCGTGATTTGGTTCCTGTGGCTGCCACTGCCCTATCAAATTCCACCACCAATTTGCAAGTTGGGCTAATGAGAGACCCCATATTTATATTAGGATTAGGATAGTTGCATAATAAAAAATAAGAAATGTGATAAATAATTGGAAAGGACAGAAACTTTTGAGGATTAGATTAGGTTAGATACTACTATTCCTGGCTCATATATTTGTTTTCTATCTTTTTAATTAAAATACGATACGCAGAACAAGACAAGAACTGCACCAAGGATCATTTGTTATTATTTGTTCTGAATATACATAGTAATTCATGCTACATATTCCGATACCAATAAATACTATATATATATATATATAATATTATGTTGAATCTACATCTAGTATAAAACTTTTAGTTTTACATATTTATAAGATTATTATATGAAAAAAAATCCAAAAACTGAAATTAATTTCTTACTCTTTTTTCGAAATATTTTTTCATTTCCTAACATATATATATATATATATATATTTATGTATATAATAAGAATTTGAAGTAAAAAAATAAAAATGATTTTATTTCGTTCATAGATAGTTTTGTCATGTCGCTCAATTCTGATTTTCTTTTGTAGTTTGTTTGTTAATGCAATCAGATATGTTCGTATCTACCTTTTATTCAAGTTTATTTAATTAGATTTTTTCTATTATTTTCCTTGTATGATATTTGTGTTATCTTATATGGTTAGTTTTTTTTATATAAGCAAATAATTTTATTCAAAATAGGAAACACGTAATACCTAATTTAGATTTACATAGCAACTTATAGATTGTCCATTGAGAGTCATAAGATTCAAACTTAACCTTACAAGTTTAAATTCCTGAATTCTAATCACATGTAACAACACTCATTGGCAAAAAAAAAATTATTATAATATAATATAGAAAGATTAAACACATATAAATAAAAAAAATATTTTATGTTATTCCTTACTTGCTCCCTTAATATAAAAAGAGAAATCATGAGAAAGGGTGACCCCCCAGTTAGCTCAAGATGAAGCCTGCAAAAAAAAAAAAAAAAGACCCATGTTTTCTTGCTCTTTCTCGCTCTACATTTTCTCTGGGTTTTATTTTAATGAAGAATAGACAACAATAGCGCAACGTCATTCAGTTTTTAAGAAATTTAAGACCTCTCGTCCCTCTCAACTTGCACAGGTCTCTCTCTCGATTCCTCAGCATGATCATCTATCCATCCCTCTCATCATCTTTATCTGTTTTTTTCCATCTTCTCTTCTCTTCTCATCATCATCATCATCTCTCTGTCATTGTCTTTGCTCCCATTTCTCCATGTCAAGAAACCAACAAGTTAGTACTGCATTTTCATATGTGATTTAGTGTCTTTTTGAAGCTAAATGCATATTGATATTTAGTGTTATGAAACTCTTGTTCTGTCAGGTTATGTGGCCCAGATTAGTGGCTAACAAGATCCTTGGGAAGAGATTAGGAAGCAACAACTTCGTCGCAGACTTTCCCAGAAAAAAGGAGTTTCCAAGCTTAGATTTCTCATCTTTGAATCCCAACAAAACCATATTCGGTAGCCATAAAGCTACACATAACTACAGGTAAATTATCTAGCAAACAGCTAACTAATTATATATGCTTAAACCATCGTTTCTAATTCTTATTTGTCATGTCAAGGATTTTTGTTAGCACATGGAATGTTGGAGGTGTTGCACCACCTGCAGATTTAGATATGGAGAAATTGCTTGATACAGGCAACACCTCCTGCGAAATCTATGTTCTTGGGTAATCACAAACTCCATAATTATTTTTCACTAGGAATTATTCACACAATGATGATACATGTTATCGTTCGTCTTCTTTTTTCCAGTTTTCAAGAAATTGTACCTCTTAGCACCTCCAACGTGCTGGGATCAGAAAACAACAAGATTTCAACGAAATGGAACTCCCTGATTAGACGAGCTTTGAACAACAAGAACACAAGGAAACAACATTCCAGTGAAGAAGGAAAGCTATCGAATGATGAAAAGAGCATCAATAATATCCCAGGGCAAGAGTTTCGGTGTGTTATAAGTAAGCAAATGGTTGGGATTCTAATCTCAGTTTGGGTCCGAAGCTATCTGTGTCCCTATATCCTGTTGGAAATAAAACACTCACACAAACAACTTTTATTGAAACTCAAACAAATATTACAAGAGTACTCTCACTCAAAAACAAGAACTACAACTCACTCTTATAAGACTTTGCTTCTTCACTCACTTAGAAGCTCTTAATTTTTCTTGATGCTTAAAACTAAAATGGGAAGGGGTATTTATACTACTCAAGAACAATCTTACACCACACAAATAAACTAATTTAAACCATTACAAATTCAACAAATATCTAACTCTCACCTAACTAAATTGATGTAAGCAATGACATCATTAATTAAATGATGTAAGCAATGACATCTTTAATTAAATGATGTAAGTAATGACATCAATTTAGTTTGGATTTGGGTTTAGGCTCCCATAATGGATCAAGTTTATGATCCAACACCCTCCCTTAAACTTGATCTCGTGACCCCTAGTAGGTTCCTTAATCTTAAGAAGTCTTCGCTGGTCAGTGGCTTGGTAAAAATATCAGCAACTTGATCTTGTGACTTCACATATTCAACTTCCACATCTTTTCTTGCAACACACTCCCTTATATAGTGGTAGCGAATATCAATGTGCTTGCTTCGATCATGGAATACTGGATTCTTTGCTAAGGCAATGGCTGACTTGTTGTCGACACAAACCTTGGTAGGCTCTTCTTGTATCAAACCAATCTCCTTCAATAGATTTCTAAGCCAAATTGCATGACAAACACATGAGGTAGCAGCAACATATTCCGCTTCACAAGTGGATAATGTGACAATCGGTTGTTTCTTTGACATCCATGTGAATGCAATATCTCCCATGAAAAATACGAATCCAGTAGTGCTCCTTCGATTATCTATGTCTCCACCCCAATCACTGTCGCTATATCCAACAAGCTTGTAATCATTAGAAACTGAATAGAACAAGCCAAAGTCAATTGTACCTTTCAGATAGCGAAGAATTCTCTTTGCGGCTTTAAAATGGGTGGTTGTTGGGGATTCCATGTAGCGACTAACCAATCCAACTGCGTGAAGAATATCGGGTCTCGTGCAAGTTAGATAGCGTAGACTTCCTACCAAACTTTGAAGAATGTTGGATCTACACTTTCGCCTTCTTCATGTTTGGTCATCTTGATCCCGTATTCTGCCGGTGTGCTTATTGGCTTACAGTTCTCCATCTTGAACTTCTTCAGTATCTCCTTTGCATAGCTTTCCTGTGAAATGAAAATTCCATCATTTTGTTGCTTAACTTCAATGCCAAGGTAGTACGCCATGAGCCCCATGTCTGTCATCTCGAATTCTTTCATCATCACATCCTTGAATTCATTAAACATGCTTGGGTTGCTTCCAGTGAAGATCAAATCGTCCACGTAGAGGCACACGATCAAAATATCTTCATCTTTGATCTTGATATATAGAGCATGCTCGTAGGGACATTTGTTGAAGCCATTCTCTTGGAAGTACTTGTCGATTCGGCTATTCCATGCCCTTGGTGCTTGTTTTAGCCCGTAAAGAGCCTTCTTCAACTTCAACACCTTGTCTTCATGCCCTTTGACTTCATAGCCTGATGGTTGCTGAATGTAAAGTTCCTCTTCAAGAACTCCATTTAGGAAGGCGGACTTTACATCCATCTGTTGTATCTTCCACTTGTTTTGAGCTGCCAAAGAAATGATTAGTCTGATAGTCTCCAATCGAGCAACAGGAGCAAATACCTCATCATAGTCAATTCCAGCCTTTTGACTATAGCCTTTAGCAACTAGCCTCGCCTTGTGCCTTTCAATCTCTCCTTTGGCGTTTTGCTTTGTTTTGTACACCCATTTGACACCTATCGCCTTATGTCCCTTGGGAAGTGAGGTAAGTTCCCATGTGTCATTCTTCTCGATGGCCTTGATTTCTTCGTCCATCGCATCTCTCCATTTCTTTTCTTGTACCGCTTCTTGAAAGCTCACTGGTTCACAATCGGCAAACAGACAAAATAATGTAAGATTATCTTGTCGTTCAGTTACCTCATAGAGATCTCTAAGGCTTCTTGTGCGTTGCACAACTCTTTCACTTTGACTCCCACTTGACGATGATGAAGGTGACGAGTCTCCTTGAGTGGTTGATGTTGGTGAAGTGGGTGGAGTTGCAAGCTCTTGTTGAGATTCATCTAGTTGCTCCCTCATTGTCTGCTCATCTTCTTCAAACTGAGGAAAGAAATTGAAGTCATCTGTATGAGAGTTAAAATCCCATTCTCCTTCTTCGTTGAAGACCACATCTCGACTAATCACAAACTTCTTATTGTCTGGATTGTACAACTTGTAGCCCTTCGAATTAGCATCATAGCCGATGAAGATAAAACTCTCGCTTTTATCATCAAGCTTCGTTCTTCTCTCGTCTGGTACGTGAACATGGGCTATACTTCCAAAGGTTCTCAAGTGGGAAATGCCAGGCTTTCTTCCACTCCATGCCTCTTGCGGTGTCTTTCCCCATACACTTCTTGTTGGAGATCGATTTGACAAGTAGACTGCACACGATACTGCTTCCGCCCAAAATTCTTTGGGTAGTTTCTTGCTTTTGAGCATGCTTCGTGCCATGTCGAGGATTGTTCTATTCTTTCTTTCTGCCACACCATTTTGCTGGGGGGATCTAGGAACTGTCATTGGTCGACGAATTCCATTTGCTTCACAGAACTCTTGAAACTCCCTGGAAGTAAATTCTCCACCTCGATCGGATCTCATGGCTTTGATATTTCTACCGCTTTCTTTCTCCACTGCTGCTTTGAACTTCTTGAAGACTTCAAAAACTTCTGACTTCTGTTTCAAGAAATATACCCAGGTTTTTCTTGAAAAATCATCAATGAAGAGAAGAAAATAGTTATTGTTACCGAGAGAGCTTGGCTTGATCGGTCCACACACATCGGTATGGATGAGCTCAAGTGGCTTCTTAGCTCTTGTCTCTGACTCCTTTGGAAAGCTTTTCCTGAATTGTTTCCCGACTAGACACCCTTCACAGAGTTGGTCAGGATGGTTGATGTGAGGTAGTCCTTTCACCATCTCCTTCTTAGATAATAGCTCTAGACCTCCAAAATTGAGATGCCCAAATCGAAGATGCCAAAGCCATGATGCATCTTTGTAGCAAGCTTTCAGGCACTTTGCAACATCATTTTGTATGTTGATCAAGAACATTCTATTCTTTGACATCGGCACTTTAGCAATGAAGTTATTCTTATCATCTTTTATAGAAAGATTATAATTATTCATATGAATATCATAACCTTTCTCTACCAGTTGCCCTAAACTTAAAATGTTACTTTTCATATTGGGCACATAGTAGACATTTGAAATAAATTGATGTCTCCCATCTTTCAAACGGATAAGAATGTTACCTCTCCCTTTCACTGCTATTGTGGAATCATCTCCAAACGAAACATTTCCACTTACTGACTCGTCTAGCTCCACAAACATGTCTTTCCTTCCACACATGTGATTGCTTGCACCACTGTCAAGATACCAGGAATTTGCTTGGACACCATCAGTTTCCTTTCGTGCTAGAAGAAGAGTTTCTTTGCCATCTGTCTTTTCCTCCACGTAATTGGCCTTCTCCTCAATTTTGTTGTTGGGAGCTCTACATTCTGAAGCATAATGCCCAAATTTTTGACAATTATAACATCGAATTTGAGATTTGTCATACTTTGAGTTTGGATTAATTCTTCCACGGCCTCGTGTTGAGCTTTCTCCTTTCTCATAGTTGTTGTTGGAATTGTTATTGTTGTAATTCCAGCCTCGTCCACGACCTCGACTTCCACCTCGTCCATGGCCTCTACCTCTGCCTTGGCCACGTTGGTTTCTATCATTGCGTTGGCTCTCATGCATATCCTTGAGTTGCAGCTTGAGGAGTTGCTCAGTAAACTCATGCTTCTTTTTATGCTTCTCTTCGTATGCTTGCAATGATCCTTGGAGCTGTTCGATCTTCATTTCTTCCAAGTCTTTAGTTTCTTCAATCGTCACGACGATGTGCTCAAATTTGGGATCCAACGAACGGAGTATCTTCTCTATTATCCTCACATCGTCTAACTTTTCACCATTTCTTTTTAATTGATTAGAAACAGCTACTACTCTTGAGAAATAATCTGAAATAGACTCAGATGCTTTCATGTTTAAGGATTCGAATTCACCTCTTAATGTTTGGAGACGAACCTTCTTCACTTGCTCGGATCCTTTGTAAGAGGTTTGCAGCTTCTCCCACGCTTCCTTGCTAGAGCTTGCACTTGAAATCTTTTCAAAACCATCATCATCTAATGCTTGATAGATGAGGTAGAGAGCCTTCTTGTCTCTCTTTCTTGAATCCTTCAAAGTTGTCTTTTGATCTGGTGTAAGAGTAGCAAAAATATCATCATCCGCAGGCTCATTATAGCCTTTCTCTATGATATCCCACACATCTTGTGATCCAAGAAGTGCCTTCATTTTGATACTCCAATTGTCGTAGTTGTTGTTGTTGAGTGTCGGAACTTGGAATGGTGCCATACCATTTGCCATATCTCTCAATATAATGAGATTTTGTAAAATCCGATTGCACGGATGAATCCGAAACGATGAAAAAAAAAAACTTTGGAGGGACTTGGACAACTCGGTCAAGGGCTCCAACTCGGCTGAATCGGCTCAACTCGGTGAGTCAACTCGATTTTCTGGCAGCAGTCTTCCGGCGGTGCGTGGCGGTGCGTCAGAACTCAGATTGAGAAAATTCTGGCGGCGTCGTATTCCTCTCGTCGAGACCTTCGATCTTTCCAACTCTCTCTGATGCCACTTTGTTGGAAATAAAACACTCACACAAACAACTTTTATTGAAACTCAAACAAATATTACAAGAGTACTCTCACTCAAAAACAAGAACTACAACTCACTCTTATAAGACTTTGCTTCTTCACTCACTTAGAAGCTCTTAATTTTTCTTGATGCTTAAAACTAAAATGGGAAGGGGTATTTATACTACTCAAGAACAATCTTACACCACACAAATAAACTAATTTAAACCATTACAAATTCAACAAATATCTAACTCTCACCTAACTAAATTGATGTAAGCAATGACATCATTAATTAAATGATGTAAGCAATGACATCTTTAATTAAATGATGTAAGTAATGACATCAATTTAGTTTGGATTTGGGTTTAGGCTCCCATAATGGATCAAGTTTATGATCCAACATATCCGGTACCCTAGTGTCTCCTGTATAGGCTGTGGAATCATGGGCTGCCTAGGAAATAAGGTATCGTTTTGCAGAAATAATCCGTTTTTCAAGTTTAAATTTCTTTTATACGTTCGTGCTTCGGTATAAAATCTTGTATCCGTTTCAATCGTATTATTCTTCTGTACTTTCATCCTATTTGGAAACTTTGGTTTGCAGGGTTCGGTTTCGGCTCGATTTAAACTACACGAAACAAGCTTCTGCTTCGTGTGCTGTCATTTAGCATCTGGGGGTAGACAAGGGGATGAGAAGCTTAGAAACTTCAATGTTTGCGAAATATTTTCCAGAACAAGTTTCCCTAGAGGCGCTTCACTTGATTTACCAAGAAAAATCTTAGACCATGAGTACGTGAAATTAATTACTTGATTGATTATCGTGCATGATCATTGTTTCTTCCACTATTATTTGATGGTAGACTTTGAATCTTTCGTGAGGCCATCAAAGACTTAAAAGAGTTGTTTTCATGTTAATTATTGGCATAATATAAAAATTGAATCCTAATGTTTGATGATATAGTCATGTTAGTCTATAATCTTTTCTTAGATATCTCCTAGTTAGTTGAATGAAAACAATTAGTTGATTAACGATCAATGTTTGTTGTTAATATGTGACTGTCACGTGTTATATACCATGTGTTGAAAGTGATGATGTGACATATATCACATGTCAAAAATAATGACATAACATATATAACATGTTAAAAGTGTTGACGTGACGGTCTCACGTAAATAATAAACATTAATCGTTAGTCAATTAATGTTTTTCATTTAAATAGATATCATTTTACTTTAAAATAATTTTTTAAATGAATAGAAATTAAAATGATTATACAATAAGATATTACGAGTATATTTTTATATTATATGATTTTTATATTCGTAACCTTTTTTATATAACTAGTTTGAAATAATTAAATTAGTGTGGTTGTTAAAAGCAGATTATAATCTGGTGGGCTAATTAAATTAGTTTATTTACTGGTAAACCGTCGTTCTATTATCAAATCCATTTATTATATGATAAAGTTGACTTCTTAATCAATGTTAAAAACTACTTTTTAGACTAATAAACCGACAAGATTAAAATAAATCTAATATGGGAATATCTTGGTGGTATCTATTATTTTTTAATATTTAATTATTTAATTTTATCAACTTAAATAACCATTGCCAATGGTTTGTGTTGCAGTGGGGTAATTTTCCTGGGAGATTTGAATTACAGAATTTACCTACAGGAATCATCTGTTCGACGATTAGTATATGCAAGAGACTGGAATTCCCTGCTCGAAAATGATCAGCTAAGGATGGAGCTGATGCATGGTGAATTCAAAGGGTGGCATGAAGGATCAATTGCATTCGCTCCTACTTATAAATACCGTCCCAATTCCGACGTATACTACGGATGTTTTCATCAAAGCCAAAAGGGAGAAAAGAAACGTGCTCCCGCATGGTAATTATTTACTTGATTATCGTTCAGGACGAACGAACGTAAGATTTTATGTTCGGAATAATTATTAATCGAAGAATTGTCGTGTGGTTTTCCAGGTGTGATAGAATAATCTGGTATGGGACAGGATTGAAGCAACATGTGTATACCAGAGGGGAAGAGAATTTCTCCGATCATAGGCCGGTGAAAGCAATATTTACGGCTGAAGTTGGGGTCTTACATTCACTCAAACAAATCCAAAGCTTTTTTTTGTCAGAAAGGTTTGATAGAATCACAAGCCTGCAGACCGATGATTTTGTGTGTAAAGGAAGATCCAGCTTCCAATTTTAATAATTGTAAAGGGATTTTAAGAAATTAATTAAATTGATGCGATAATACGATTGAAGAAGATATCTCTCGAATTTTAAGATTACCGTTCATCGTCCTTTTCAACTTATTTATCTTTCTTTTTACACCTATAAAATCATTATATACGACTCTCCCATCGAAATTAAAAAAAATAAATCATCTATAATCATCACAATCACGATTTTTTCATCAACAAGTAGCTTAAAACCCGACTTGATTCTCAGATTTAATGCTATTTATAATCTATAATTAGTCATCTTTCAAACCCAATAAATAAATAAAGAAGATTTGTGTATGGGGCAATAATTGAGTACTTTGGAATTCAGATGAGAGGAGTGGGAAAGCATTAGCCGAATCCTAATTAATTTGGCCTATTAATTGGACCATCCATTTTGATTAGTTAATAATTTATAGCTTATAGAAATATATAAATAAGATGCAGATATGGTTTAAAAATAGACAAGTGGTGCAATAATGTTATGCCTTTGTGTCATGGTATATAAAATGTTTCATTCAATGGCTGGTATTGAAAATGAACCGATGAAATTAACTCTCATAGGAATCAAACTTTAGGCAATAAAATATATTTTTGTTAGATTACATACTTAAAATAAAATAAAATAAAATAAGAATTCATCATATGGTTTCAGTAGCAGAAAAAAATATAATTTTAGAGAGTTTGAATTTAAACATCTACGCCTGTAGGATGTATATGTTCTCAATTAGTTAAAAATTTCTGAACAAATACTATATTATAATGACCCCAAACGATCTTATGGCATATTAATTGTATCTTATATATTATTAAAATTTTCTTTCTAAACAATTGCTAAGCTCATGGGTTCCATAATTTAAGCCCGACTTTAAATTGTCTCACCAATTTGATGCTAAAGTTTTTCCCCCCTCTTTCACACTCTCTCTAGGGCATTTCAGACCAGTGAACATCAAAGAAACAAGAATGTCATACCTTAGACCAAAGATAGCATATTAACCTTATAAGTTAGTAAGTTTCAACTCAAACTCTCGCAATAGAGCTAGTGAAGCATATTAACTTTATAAATTTTCATAAACGTTGTTTTACTCTAAACAAACACATACCCACCGATAGTGTTTTATCACTATATTATCAATTATCCAATTTATATCACAATTTTGGATACCTTTGAAAAGAATTAAACTTTCAAATTTATAATCATATTAAATTGTTGTGTAAACACTTAAGATTTTCTTATAATCATCATTTGGATTGTGTGTATGTCTAATATAATTATTTTTCAGGTTAGATATAAAATTCTCAATAATTTTAACATTTTCACAATGTGAAATGTGAAATATGGTTTCATTTAACTCAAAATTTATGTTAAGTTTACAGAGTTGGTTTGAGGAATCACTTCAATACTAAAATTTCTCTAAAAAAACTTTAAACAAACAATATATTTTATTATTATTATTATTATTATTATTATTATTTCTCAACAAGAGAAATTGTTTTTATAAGACAACTACCTAGACTGTTAGCCTCGTTAAAAATCTCACTAAGCCTAAATGGAGGAAAAAAACTGTCAACCATAAGTATTTAAAACAGGGGGGCTCCCAACAATAGTATCCAAAATACATAAGTACAAAATAGAGTGTACGACTCAAATAATAACAATAGTCTATGATAGTACATGCCCACTATAATACTCGAGACGTACTCTACAAGAAGAACAAGTTTAAAAACCCCAAATCTAGTTACGTGCTCCTTGAACTGACACCTAAGGATCTGCACACGAAAACACATTCCATACGCTGAACTCACAAGTTCAGTGCCACACAAATAACCCTATTATACTACATGCATCCAACAAGTACGCATGCTACAAGTATGGTTATGAACATTGCATACATTATCAGAACAACAAGAGGAAGCATCAAGATGTAGCTCGGGGTCTCTTAGAATCACAATCACACCCATCTTTGCTTACTAAAGAATCTTAAGCTAGACCTGGGCCACACAACATCATCGTCCCTTGAACCTCGAGCTGAGTTTGGGCATATAGCATGGGAAACTCACTTGCTATTCTACTCCTCTAAAGTACTCAGGATATAGTCATGTCACTTAGCATCGCTACCCCATCCAACTAGCCAAAATACGGATATATGAGAAGGAACCAGGGGAACCAAGTATACAGAGTGAGTCATTTGCAAGAACAGTTCAGGGTCATATTGTAACACCCCAAAGTTAGGTTAAAATGAAAAATTTCAGTGTATGACCGTGAGTTCATAAGTGTGCCAGGACTTGTGCTGAAGTTTACCCAATTTTTTGCGGTATTTTGTTACCTGTATAATCTTTTCCATTTTTTTCCTTTTGAATTTTGAAAAGTCTTCCACCGTTAACTCTTTATCCTCTCTCTCTCCACCCGTTTTTAGTTTTTCTTCGACTCGTCGCTAACCGTGTGGTAGTGTTCGAGACCTCTGACACAATTGTGTTCTTCTCGTCGACCCCGTTTATCTAATGTCATTGGATTATCGTTGTCCATTGTTGTTTACAATCGGTGAATGTTCGAATGTTTGGGTTTCGTTAAAACCTCATCTTCGTCAATTTTTTTGGAAAAGCGATCTTTGTAAGTGACTCCTTGTGTCTTAAAATAATTTTTTGAAACTTTCCATAATTTTTTGACCGTCGAGAGAGGCCCCACGTGCCACTGTGCTAGAGTTGGCTTTGTCCTGACGGTTTAAGTAGTGAATTGGTTTAACTGAACCAATATGACCCCTAAATCAATTTGACTAACTTGTTGACCTTGATTGACTTGACCTGTTGACTTTGACCAACTTGACATGTTGACTTTGATTGACTTGACCATTTGATCATTAACTTTTCCAATGACCATTGACTTTTTTCTAAAAAACCCCTATCTTCATGTTTTTGACGTCATGAGTCTGTTTTCGTAGTCTGTTTTACCAAATTCTAACCTAAAAGCTTTGTTTTATATCGTTTATTGCTTAAGTCTTATTTATGTTAAGTGTGAGATTGTTTACTCACTCTTTAGTGCTATTTTCTGAAGGTGCACTCGTGTCTCTAGACTACTCTCTAGTAAATCCTGATCACTCTTGTTCCACTCAATTCGATTACGCTCGCTCATCTCGAGATGCAAGTAAGTATTAACGACCAAGTTAAAGTATATTTCTATTTAGAGGTATTATTTGGTACTTAATATTATGTCATTATTAGGTTTTTAGACCATAGGACCTAGTACTACTGATTTTGGGAAGCGTACGACTTAGTCAGTATCGATTAATTGTTATGGGTGTGTCCATTTGACCTGTTTGTTACCTTTAATATTTTTTGTTATTATGATGTATGATATTATCTATACATAATTACGTATTCTAGTTACGTGTATTTGAGTTATGATTGATTTATGATTATTGTTACATCATTTTTAATTTGTGCATTGATGTATTCCTGTTTCTACATGGGATCCTCTACGGAGGACATAATCCCCATCCTGATTCTGCATGAGATTATATCTCCGTCCTGATTTTGCATGGGATTTGATCTCGTCCTGATTCTGCATAGGATTTGACCCTCGTTCTATTCCTACATGGAATTATATCCCCATCCTGATTCTGCATAGGATTTGATCCCCGTCCTAATTTTGCATGGGATTTGATCTCCGTCTTGATTCTACATGGAATTATATCCCTGTCCTGATTCTGTATGAGATTTGATCTCCCTCCTAATTCTTCATGGGATTATATCCCCTTCCTGATTTTGCATTGGATTATATGTCCATCCTGATTTTGCATGGGATCCTCTATAGAGGGCAAAATCCCCATACCTTATTTGATTTCTGATGAGTTCCTCCTTGGACGTTAACTTGGACTCCTCTTCGGATGGTAACGTCCATATCCCAATTTTCGTTTTCTGATTTGAATTCACTTTAGAGGTCTCAGGTTCCTCTCAGCAAGTAATGTTTTATGTTATGTTCTTCTATGACGAGAGGTAAATTTGTGAGGAACTTTGTATGATTTTCTATAAATAAATATTTGGTTTTACTATTAGTTGCTTATTCTACTATTTTTATATCTTCCCTGAAATATTTGAATTGTTATTTGTATTTAGAAGGCACATTGAGTTTGTAGCTCACTCTATTTCTATTTATATTTTCAAATTATTCAGATCTACAACCAGTTTAGCTATCGGAAGAGAAGTCTCGATTTCATACCGTGTGAGGCTAAAATTTTGCTTTCAACCTCTTTAAACTTTGACATAGGTTTATACTTGATTTTATTATCTGTAAATATTTTCTTCTAAAATAAATGATTTATTAAACAAATTTACGTATGTAATATATTTATGAGGTCAACGTGGTTACTCCAATGCAATTGTAACTCCTAGGCCAAGTCTAGGGGTTACACATATGGAGGAGGAAACCAAATGTTTAATTGATGCTATGGCAAGTGATTGTAGCTCAGAAGAGGCGAAGACGAGGCTCCATAACTAGGGGCTAGGAGGTTTCGAAATCAAGTTTTTAGGAGGAGGTCGAAGTTTTCTGATAGACATAAACGACGAAGAAGTTCAAAAGTTGATGGAGGAACAAAATTGGTCTCTGTTGAAAGAAGTATTTCTGGAGGTTAGTTATTGGTCACAATCTTCCAAAGTACCTGAGAGAATTATATGAGTGGAAGTTGCTGGAATTTCACTGCATTCCTGGAACACAACATTTAAAAGAATCACAGAATTATGGGTTCACTAGTGGCGATGGGCGGGAATGTGAATCAGTCTCAAGGTTGCGAGAAGGTATCCATGTTAATTTCAACAAACCAATTGAAGAAAATTGAGGAAGTATTTGAAATGGAAGTAGGTGAGGAGAGTTATGGTGTTCGTGTAGATAAAGTAAACTTCAATAAAGTTGTGTCATTTCCTCAGAATGTAGGCTTAAACAAGAAGGCAGATCAGAAAATCGATTCAGGCGTGGGTGAAAGTTCATCGGAGTTGACGACTGTCTCTTTTCGGAGGGAAGAGGATT